GTGTTTGACTTCTTGCCTCTGCGAGCGGCCTGCCAGCGGCCATCAAAGACGAATGCCTTCCAGGATTCGAATGCATCAACTGCATTTGCGCTTTAGCCATGTCTAGGCATTTGTATAGGCGACAGAACCTCAGAAATCCACTGCACCTCATGATTGGTCGCCTTGAGGCGTTGAACTTAGGATCGTGCTTCCCTGGCTTTCTTTTCGCCCCAATTTTTCCCACCCCTCACATCAAAACGTAGAGAGTCTGGCGTGCTCTTCATCGCGGAATCCACAAGCGTGCTTTAAGGTTTCTACTTGTCTCATTTCAATTCAGCTATAGCTGAGTTCTTTTCCCTGGACTTTGCCCGGGTTGGCTGGTTTGTTTCCGTTTCCCCCTTTGTGCGTTGGCGCAGTCTTTTTTCCCAATTTGTAGGTGAAACCTCAAACCTCTTTCATTTTCTTTGTGGATGGCATGAGCGCCAAAAAATTCCAATTCTGTCAGCTGTGCTCGCTGTATGTCCTTGCCTAGCAAACTGTGTTATTGTTGCAGTGCTCACCTGGTTTTTCTCCCGCCGTAAGGAGCCTCATTTTCACCACCTTGCACACGAGAGTGATTCGCTAAAGGCAATGAAAAGGATTCAGGCCGGGTTTGAAGGCGTGTGAAGCACTGATGTCCTGTTGGCGACTCATGAAGTGGAGGACTGCCAAGACGAGAACGAGCTGTTGACGCCAAAGAGCAGGTGTCTTTGTGAAGAAATGCCGACGGGTTTCAGGTCAAAGATTCAATGTCTGTCACCTGTGGTGCACTTGTTTTTTCAGGTCTTCAGCTCCAACTGCCGCACCATCTTCTCCAGAGCAGCCCCAAGATATACCCAAGATTTTAATGACATCTTTAGGTCTTGTTCAGTGAAATTCGCTAGGATATGCTGACCGGCGCAATCAGGAACGAAATGACCACGAGAACAGCGCCTCCAGTGTGAACATATTTGCATCACCTTTGTCCCTTGGATCAAGTTTCACTTTGAAGTGGGTCAAATGTGGTGAATCCTTCTTGTGCAGCTTGGCCGCTCAGGATTACTATGGAAATCTCGAAATGTCTTCAAGTGCCTTGGCTTGGTAGCAGTTGCATGTTGCTCCATGTTTTTTTGCGTCATGTTTTTTGCAAAATGGGTAACACCATATCACCATGGAAATTTCCCGGTTCGAGGGGCCGCCGGCAAAGGGACAAGCGGCAGACACATGGAAAACATTGGAAAACAAGCAGGGAGGCAAGTGCAAACCAAATTCAAAATGCTCCGAGACACAAGGGATGTCGGGGAGACCAGTAGGTAGGTGATGATTTGAGCTCAAATCTGTATAATCTGTCCCAGAAATCTTCTAGCGCAGGGTGCAGAAACAGAGTTCCAGCAGGGGAATGCAAACTCGGAGCCGAACTCTTTCAAGAAAAAAAAGAAAACGGAAGTTGCCTGTATGAAGAGCCCGTTTGTCAATGCAGTTTTTGGATTTTTGTTTCAAGCGTAACCATTCCTTGTTGACATTTCATTGAAAAATCTGTCGAGGTGTTTGACTTCTTGCCTCTGCGAGCGGCCTGCCAGCGGCCATCAAAGACGAATGCCTTCCAG